AACATAAGTTTATATAAAGTTAAAAAATATTTAAAAGAAATAATAGGATTAATTCCAGTATTTTATGATATGTGTGAAAATTCTTGTATCTGTTATACTGGAAAATATGAATTTTGTAAAATTTGTCCAATATGTAATTCTAATAGATTAGATATTAGAGGTAAAGCAAAAAAGGTTATGCCATATCTTTCAGTAAAAGACAGATTAATATTACAATTTAATGATGCAAATAGAGCAAAAGAATTATATTATCATCATAAATATATTATAGATAAAGATGATGATTAAAGATGGTACAGCAATTAATTTCAAATTTATAAAATGTTGCAACATAAGCTAAAATTAGTTGCAACATATAAAAATTAAAACTAATTGCAACGTAAGTTGCAACATTAAAAGTTGCAACGTATTAATTACAGTTCCTATCTTTAATGATGATGATTTAAATAATATTTTTGATGGAAAAATTTATAAAGAACTAGTAAATGAAAATTTATTTGATGATAAAAGAGATGTTGCCTTTACAGCTTCTTGTGATGGATATCAAATTTTTAAACAAAAAACTGATGATTGTTAGTTATTTCTTTTAATAAATAACAATTTACATTCTTTTTTACGAGTAAAAAAAGAAAATTTATTAATTCCTTTTTTGATTTCTGGACTAAATCAACCAAAGGATTTTAATATATTTCTACAACCATTTATTGATGAAATGAAAGAATTAGAACATAAAAAATCATATTTAAACTTATTTATAATATAAAGTAAAATAAATAATATTATTCTTTATTTTAGGAGGAGTCTTTTGTTATAATATATATAGTAAAAGTAATTTCTTACTTCATGCTCATATGGGGCCTTTGTAATAGAAAGGGGAGAAACTGCCGGGAAAAATTAATTTTACTTTATATGCCAAATATGATTTTTATGTTGAAATATATTCAAATTTAGCATTAACTCACTTTTGATTTTTCCGGCTGTTTTCCTTCTTTCTATTGCAAAGGTCCTATATTATTACATGAACTGATGTTATTTCAGCTCTTACAAAAAATAATGAATATCACTGGACATAATTTTTATTGGAGTTGTAGATTTTGTAATATTGAAGGAAAATATTCAAAAAAATTTACACACATATTTTTATTATTTTTTTTTTTAAAATGTGGTAGTTTCATTAAACACACATATTTTCCTACAAATAAAAATTATATAAATAGAAATCATCTTAATTGGATATGGTGGCTGTCACCTATAAACCACAAAAATATCATATGACTTTAAAATTTTATAAGTTAGAAATAAAGTAATAAAATATAAATCTAAGCTGATAAATTAATAAAATAACATGTGTTGATTATTTTTATCAGTTTACTTTTAAAGATTTATTAGAAATTTATTTTTTTATTTAATTTAAAAGTTCAAGAATAAATCATATGACCCATATAGTAAAAAGATAAATTTCGGACTAGCTTGTGCGTATTGTTTTTACAAATTTCATGTGAAAATCAAGAAATTGCAACTTTAATAAACAAATTTTTTTTATATATAAGTGATTCTATAAAACTTGAAATAAAAATGTCCCATTAATTTTGGTTTTTAATTTTTATTTGTGTTAATTAAAAATGTAAAAATAATCAAAACCTTTCCGATTTCTGATTTTACCTATTTTCCCATGTATTTCTGTATTTGAATTAATTAATGTTAATGCTCATTATATTTCACATCTTTAATCAATAATGACTCATCCATCAAAACGAAAAATTAAGGTTAAAAAGCAAGAACGAGATAATGATAGAAGGTTTGCAAAAAAGCCACAAATTATTGATGATTGGGGAGATGTTGATGATAGCGGGTTGGATGATGAAATAGATTTATTAAGTGAAAAAGAAGATAAATATAAGTTAGTTTAATCAGATAATGCAGAACTTGAACAAAAAAATGCGGACCTTACCTTGCTGGAAAAACCAAAAAATCAACATATTTTGATAAATACGAACCTAGTGGCTGTTTTAAAAAGCTGCAAAAGGAACTGCTAAAATTACAACGTTTGTGAATAAACATCAAGTAATTCTGGATGATTTCGATGAAGTTTTGGATGATATGAATGATATGGATAATATGGAGACCGAAGAACAAAACCTAAAAAAAAAACTTGAAAATTTAAAGATTGAACTTAAAGAGAAACAAAAATCATTAACGGTGACTGAATATAACAAAAAATGAGTGATATTTGAATATTTAAGAAGATTAGATGATAATGGAAAAGGAATGGTGAAGGCCAGTATGAAAGCTGCGAAGTTGGTTTTTATCGAAAGTGCATCATATAGAGCAAGAACTATTTGATATTGAGCAAATCATTAGCTCCAATATAATCATCTTCCAATAAGCCGCCAAGGTAAACATCAAAAGTCATTACAACTGATAAATGATGAAGATATAGCAGAAAAGTGTCATATGTAGATTCGGTCTCAAGGTGGAAAAACCACTCCGTTAAAATTCAAGGACTTTGTTGAATAAAAGCTACTTATTGATTCAAGAATAATAATAAAAAAACAATCAGTATAGAAACTGCAACACGTTGGCTCAATATACTTGGATATTTTTTCCAGTCACAAAAGCAAGATAATATAAGTATATTATACATACAGCATGTTAAAAAACGTTAAACTAGATTACTAATGTTATATGATGTCATATATGACATATATTATGATGGTTACGAACGTCCCGATGTTGTAAAATATCGACAAACTTTTTTAGATGAAATCTATAGCTATGAAAAGAATATAATGAAATATGAAGGCGAAAATATGGAACGGATACCGCTAACATTAGAATCAAATGAAAAGGAAATAATTTTTATAACACATGATGAGTATATTTTTTACTCCAATAACGGAAAATGAGGTGTATAGGCAAAGTCCAGCGAATTACCATTGCGTAAGAAAGGAAATGGACGTTCTATTATAGTTAGCAAATTTCTGACAGAAGAATGTGATCGGCTTAAATTGAACTTACAGCAATGTCAAGAAAACTCTTCCATACCTGAAGAAACTCACGTTTATCTTCAACCAGAAAAAGATTGAGAAGGGTTTTGGACAAGTGAGCATCTAGTTGAACAATTGAAGATGAAAGCAATACCAATTTTTGAAACACTTTTTCCAAATTGTATTGCCTTGTTTGCATTCGATAATAATTTGAACTATGCGGCATATAGACCTAATGCACTTGTGGCAAGAAGGATAAATCTAAAATCTGGAGGCAAGCAGCTGAAGATGAAGGACACAGTTTTTGAACCAGATAATAAGCATCAATCAATAGTCAATTAAAGTAACGAACTGAAAGGGATGAAACAGGTATTAATTGAGCGTGGATTGTGAAAAGATGGGTTAAATGCTAATTGTCAGTTGTGTAAGAATAAGATTGAAGATATGAATCAGACAAATTGTTGCATACGGAGAATCATTTCATTACAGTTGGATTTCCTGTCACAAAAAAGTATGTTGGAGGAAGCAATACTGGAAGCTGGGCATAAGTGCATATTTTATCCGAAGTTTCACTGTGAATTGAATTATATTGAACGATACTGGGGGCGGCAAAAAGGTGTGCTTGTGAAAATTGTGATTATTCTTGATCGGGCTTGCAACGTGTTATTCCTGCAGCCTTGGAGTCTGTTAGTATAGTTACAATAAGAAAGTTTGCTAGAAAGGCATAGCATTACATAGATTTATATAGGAAAGAAATAACTGGTAAGTTGGCAGAATATGCTGCCAAAAAGTATAAATCTTACCGTTGTATTCCTGAATATGTACTGGAAGAATTAAACAAATAATAAAAATCTTGTATTGCTTTTGCGATGCAAATTCATATAAATAAATGTCAAAATCACATGAAAATCACATGAAGATCTACATCTGAAATTTCAGACTAGTGCAGTTTATAGATGACAGCTACCATAGCATGTATTAAAAACTAATCAAGAAAAAAAAGCATTAATAAAACAATGTGGTAAATTTTTATTCTTTTATTATTAAATTATTATTAATTATAAATGATTTAATTTAACTTTTTTATATTTAATTTTAGGAATTAAAGGCAAAAGCATTTTATTGGAATTAACATCAATCAAATTTCCTAGATCTTTTCCAATTAATATAATGCATTTATTTTTTGAAAATGTTGCACCAAATATATTTAAATTATGGAGTAGTTGATTTTTTAAAGATGATCAAAACATTTCTAAACCGTTATCCCTAAAGGAATGATAGAAGTCGTCCCTAAAGAAATGATAGAAGTCATTCTTAAAGGAACAATACAATCTTCTTAAAAGAGACGATTTCTATTATCTTAAAAGAAATGAACATTCATTTCCAAAGAGACAATAGAAATCATTCCTAAAGGAACAAAATATCATTCCCAAAGAGACGACAGAAATCGTCTCTAAAGGAATGAAAATTCGTTCCTAAAGGAATAATAAAAATCGTCTCTAAAGGAACGAAATATCATTTTTAAAGAGACGATAGAAATTGTCCCTAAAGGAACGATTCAATTATCGTTCTTTCAGAACGATTCATCATCATTTTGAAAAGAATGATATTTTTTTATCATTCTGAAATGAATGATTTTTTTTATCGTTCTTTTAGAACAATACATAATTGTTCCTTTAAAATGATATTTTATATCTTTCTATTAGAACGATCAAACTATTGTTTCTTTAGAATGATTTCTATATTGTTATTAAGGAACGATTGAATTATTGTTCCAAAGAATGATTTTGCTATCATTCATAAGGAACGATCAAACTATCATTGATTTTGCAATCGGATGATACAAAATCATCTGTTTGGAATATTTATGATAAATAGTATAAATAACATCTAAATTTCGGATTAATTGAAATTTTAGTTTAGTTTATAGTATAAAACTGATAAACTTTCTGAATATTCTGAAAAAATTTATTTCTTCCTTTTTTTTTTCCTAGTGAGGTGATTTTTAAATGGAAATTTAAATCTTTTCCTTTTTTTTTCTTTTTTTTTTAGGAAATTCTTATTTTGGAATTAAGGTAAATGAATAGAAGTGATTTTGTGGTATTTTCTTTTCTTTTTTCTTGTTTTTTAGGAAATTCTTACTTTGAAAATTAAGATAAACAAATCAGAAGTAACTTTTGGATGGTTTTTAACACTTTTTCTGTTTTTCTTTGATTTTTTTAAAAAATTTTCTTTTCAAAGCTAAGTAAGGTAAGCCTTTCAAAGAGTACTTTTGAATGGTTTTCTAACTGTTTTCTTTATTTTTTCTTTACTTTTTTTAGAAATACATTAAGGTAAGCCTTTCAAAAGTGATATTTTGGTGGTTTTTTAACTGTTTTCGTTATTTTTTTTTACATATAAAAATCTTTTTAGCATAACTTTAAAATATATTATTTCAACATATAATGATTAGAATTCAATGATTTTTAGCTTGTTAAATTCGTCTCGTCTCAATGATTTAAGTATTAAATTATTAAATTGATTAAAATAATAGTTATAAATTGATAGTAACTTAAACTTAGTATATGTTATCTATTAATCTAATGATTAAATATTAATGAAAATTATTTTATTAGATTCGATTAAATAAGATGAATTTAATGGTTTTTATTTCATAAAAATCGGAGTTGTATTGGCAAAGATACATCAATTTGAAAATTGTATAGCAATTGTTATAAAAATTAGGGGACATATCACTTGACCATTAAGTATTAATCAGAGATAAATATCGCAATTTTGATTGGTTATTAGGAAAATCAGGAAAATTGCAAATATAATCTTTTAGTCTCATACGATCTTTAATTATCCCGGAGTTAACGTCAAATAGGGAAAATGATTGATCACCTTTTAGGGAGGCCCTCTCCTTCTTGGAAACGTTTTCAAGTATTTATAGTCTCCTTTACCTGGTAATAATTTAAATTATAGAATCAATAAACTTTGTTTAAACAAAGATATTATGTTCTAATTAACAAACCTGCTTTTAGGTTTTGGTATATCTACAAAGTTGATAGAAGAGGACCTAAATTTTGTCAAAAATGGAATGATAAACTTTGTAAGTTCTAACCTGGATTGTAATCTTTACTAATACTTCTTTATCTTTACTAATACTTTGCTTTATAATTAGCCCGATTCACCCCTTTTCAATTAGTTGCTGGTACTTTAGCGTTCTTATATATGCTAAAAAATGCTGACCGCATGATAGGACTTGGTGGTAAGTTGTATACAATTCTCTTAATCAAATTAAATTTTTACTAATTAATTTATTATTAACGTATTTTTTTTAAAAAAAAACTGACAAAAGCACCGGAACCACTCTCTCGACTTGTACGTAATTATAAATTAATTATAAACTTTCTTTTTTTCTACTTTTAGATTCTAAAAAAAAATCTTTTTATTTATACGATTGCAATATAGTACAGTCGTAATTTTTATCGTGCAACATGGATTCTAACAGCACTTGATGCCGGATTTTGGACTGCAATGCCGATTCGTCCTAAATTTCTTAGAGATATAATGTCAATTGTTTTTTCTATATATTATTTGATCTTTGCTGATCAAGCAGATGAAAAAGTAAGAATGATAAATGATACTTTTTTAGATCATTCAGATTTCAATCAATATATTAATTAATACTTAGATTCGAAGAATACGCGCTACAATTACTGTCGAACAATTACGCGTTTCTTGGGAAAAGTCTTTGAACCCAATTTTACGTGCCGCAATTAGTTTCAGTCATCCGCGTATATTTCAAAAGAAAATTCAAATTCCTCGCCCGAAAAATAATTCTCACGGCACTCGACCAGTTATTGGTTATATTTATTATGCTGGTTCAGTAGAATCTTTTGCAAATCAGGATAAACTTGTACTCCATTTTCCAGGTGGTGGTTTTATAGCGATGTCTCCCCCTTGTCATGAAGAATATCTATGCCATTGGGCAAAAAGAACTCAAGTACCTGTTCTGAGTATAGACTACTCAAAAGCACCAGAGTTCCCATATCCTTATGCTCTAGAGGAATGTTTTGATGTTTATCAAAGTATCATGGAAAGCAACGGTGAAGTTATAGGAATGACTGGATTGACAAATAAAGACGGCAGCAAGAGAAAGCAAATTAAGGTTGCAATAGTTGGAGATTCTGCGTAAGTATAATTCTTATTCATAAACAGTTCATCTTTTAATTTAACATTTTAATTAATCTTTTCCTTGCAATAATAAAAAAAAAGTGGTGGGAATTTTGTGACATCTGTAATGTTCAAAATACTTGAATCCCCAACAGCCCTTCCACATCCTACCGCGTTAATTCTTATTTATCCCTGCTTGAATTTTGACATTACATGTTGGATGACGCCATCTCAACTTTCTGTCATAAGGGCGGATTCCGCCCATACTATTCCCGGAGTATTAGAATCTAAGGATCATTTACGTCATAAAAGTCCTTTGTCAGTAGTCCCTGATGTTAAAAAGAGAAGGTGGAGAAAACGCTTTTCTGGATCAAGAGATGATGAAAGGACGATCGAAGAAAGAGTCAAATATATAGACGGTCATGATGTGACTGGAAATCCCAGTGAAAAAAGATCTCGTCCCGTAATAGGAACACGATTGACAATGACTAGTCGTATGAGCTTTTTTAATGATAGAATCATAACTCCTGATATGGTAAAATTAATTATGTATTAACAAATTTATTTGTTGTTTATTTGTTTATTATAATAATGACATTTTTTATTCATCTCTAGATGCGTGCAATGGTAATTCTTTACCTTGGCCCTAATAATTATCCTGATTTTAATTCAGATTATTTGCTTTCCCCTATCGTTGGACCTGATGAATTGTTGGCACAATTTCCAAAAGTTTATCTTATGTGTGGAGAGAAAGATCCTTTTGTCGATGATACTGTTGTATTTGCAGGACGTATAAGAGAAGCTAAAAGGAGGAAAAAACAAATGGCAAATGGTGGTAAATTTGGAGAAGGTTTAAGAATGAGCAGCGTAGAGAAATCGGATGCTGATGATTGGGTAGAGGTGAAAATCCTTCAAGGGATGAGTCACGCGTTTTTACAAATGATGTCAATATTGCCAGAGAGTAAAGGCGCTGTAAGAGCTATTGGAAGATGGTTGATTCAAAGTTTACAAGAATTACCAGATTCGAATTACAAAAATGACAATAATATTTTAAATAGAAGTGTACAAGATCAAGACGAAGGTTTGATAATTTCGTCTCGACCTTCTACGATTAAAGACATAGCTAAAATTCATGATTTTTCTCATCATCAACAGCAAATTCAATCTACATCACCGAAATCAAATATTAATGTTTCACATTCGTTTCCAGATGTTACTTTAGCAAATGAAAATTCGCATAAATCATCATCATATCCAATACATGTTTCCGCTTCCGAAGTTTCACTAACTCCAGTACAAGAGCGTGAGCGCGTTTTATGGGAAGAGCAGAATATTCTCAAGGAGCATGAAATTTTAAAGAGAAGACGAGATGGTTTATTAACTCATCTGACAGAAGGATGTAATACGACAACAACAGATCAAGAAAATATCGTTACAAGTTAGCATTCTTTTATCGATATGTTTAATATTTTATTATATATTTTATTAGAATTCGAAAGGAATGAGTTTATCATTTAGTTATTCTAAGATTTAAATAGAAACATAACTATTATGTTTTTTATCAAATACCTTATATTACAATAAATTAAATTAAAAAAATTTAGTTAATCAAATTATATCTGACATTTGGTGATTACATAAGAATAACAGTCTAATATGTATTACGACATTTAATCAGTATTGTTTTCCACATTTTGTGATTCTTGTTGACTATGTGGAGATCGTATAGCACGATTTTCAATAATGGAATTGGCAAAGTTACTAATATACGTTTTCTAAATTCAAAGTTCCAAATGATGATTTTAGTTTTAAGAATTGTAAATGAAAATGGGACAAGGAGACTCACTAGCTCATCATTGCGTCGGCTACAAAGCTTTTTAAATTTAAAATATTATTAAAAATAAGTAATAAAAAAAAAAGTATGTGATTAAAATAATGTGATAATTTACCTTCACATCATCCATCGAGATTGTGGATCGATTCGCATGACTGTTTATGAGAATATGGTAAATTTAATAAAATAATAATAATAACGATAATTTCAGGGAACACGTAATATATATATAAGGACTTTGCAAAATTTTCCAAGTTTATCGCAAAAGTTTCTAATTGGTGAAACAACAAGTGAATTTAGAATAAACAATGTAAAATAAATTTACCAATTAAGAGTGATATTTTACCAGCTTGTTTATATACCATTTCCGTTAACGACGCGATAAATAATTGAGTAGGGATTACGTTCAATTCATCAGCTATGAAATATAAAATTAAAATTAACAAACATTATATAATACATATAAAATTAGTAAAGAAGTGGGTTTTGTACCTTCTTCGTGACAAATATCATTTACCGTTTGCCATATCATCGCTTTCAAAGACTTCAGAAATGGATCATTTAAAATTAAGTAATTTTAAATCAAAATTTCGATTTAAAAAACCGCATTTACCTCCCGACTTTGAATTCTTTTTTGATTCATGTTCAAATTAAACTTTTTGTTTTGGTTGTTTTGGACATCTAATTTATGAAATCTGGGCAACGAAGATGATTGGATGATAGCTGTAAAGTTTATGTGATACAATCGCGTCTAATAATCTGAATAATTTTGCTATTTTTGTTTTTGTTTCACTGTGTTATAAGTATAATAATCCAAATGCATTTCACTCTAAAAGAAGAATCATATGTGATTATTGATAATGGTTCTTGGAGAATAAAAGCAGGAATAAATGTAACTGATACGAATCAGTTTCCTTCTGTGGTAAGTGACCTTTTTTTTATACGAAAACTCGACAGCTTGTTCAAATCGGAGTCTCGGTCCCTTCTTGCTTTAATGCCCTGTTATAACACGCTACATCCGTTAAGTTTGATCTTGTTGCGCGTGTAAAGTTATTAACAAATTTGTAGAGGATCGATAAAACAATTCATTCAAAATCATCCTTCGCTTAAACCAACAACTCAGCATAAACTGAATTGTTTATAGCTTCTTCAAACAGAAGTCGGAAAATTGCCTGAAATAGAGATTGAAAAGCAAAATTCCGAGATATCGCAAGTTCCGGAAAATAGTAAGCAAACCGAACCGAACTCACCAGAAAAGTCAGAGAAGGATGCACCTACAAAGACTGCTAAAGGACCAAAATATGTTTGTGGTATGCAATTAAAGGAATTAAAGGAACAGCACAAAGGTAAATTTGTAACTTCTTATCCGTTAAAACGCGGTAATATTGAAAATTGGGATGAATTGGAAGCATTATGGTACGTTTATATTATCATAATTGTTTTATTTGATATTTTTCCTCATTAAAGGCTTCATTCACACAATAATAAATTTAAACAGGCGACATATTCTCTTAAAGGAATTTAATATCAAAAGATCACGTAATGAATGTCCTGTAATCGTTACTGTTCCGAATACTTGGAATAAAGTACAATATGAACGAATTGCACGAATATTTTTCGAAACCTTCAATTCTCCCGGACTTTACATAGCTAATCAGGCATTAATGTCTCTATACGGTTGTGGCAGCATTAGTGGTTTGGTAGTGGATATCGGTTACGGGAAAACTGGTACTCTGATTTCATGCTGTTTATTATTTTTTTATAAATTTTGTTCTTTTAATAAACTTTTGAAATTTCCAATTAGAGATAACCCCAATTTTAGAATGTTCAATTCAGCACCACGCAATACAAATCGTTCCTATTGGTGGTCAAGATTTTGATGAATATTTTCATTCGTTGCTTTTATTGGACGCGCAATTTCTTGAAGAGTATGGAGAGACTCCTGATAAAGATTTTGCGAGAGCTCTTAAAGAATCAATTTGTGAGGTTTTATTAGATGCTAACAATTTGGAAGATAAACCTGCGAGAATGGAACTCGAATATCACGGAAAAAAGGTTCATAAACATTTTACTAGCCAAGAAATCTGCTGCGTGCTTTAAAGATTTTAAGTTGCGAGCAATTCAACTTTCTTTTATAGTTTACAGTTGGCCCGGAACGTTTTCATGTCGCAGAACCTATTTTTGACACATTGTTGATTAATAGACAAGGAGTCTTATCACTAACAGAATCGATTTATCTGGCCATATATAGTTGTGAACCAGATAAGCGTAACACATTATGGGAGAATATTGTACTTACAGGTGGATCATCTATGATGAAAGGTTTGTAAAAATTTTTAAATTCAACTTTATTCAAGTTAAATAAATAATACATATATGAAATTTTTTTTTTTAAAAAAAAAAGGCTTAAAGGAACGGATTAAAAACGATCTGGCACCATATTTTACATTTTCTGATAATACTGGAGAATACCAAGTTAAAGAAGCAAAATTCTTAAAAGTTCCTGATTATTTTACAAATCTTAAAGACAGACAAGATTTGGCTGGATTCTTGGGTGCTTCCATAACAGCCAAGGTACGGACACTTTTATTTTATCATTTAATCAATTCATATTTTTATTATTATTTACATGATGTTTTATTTGGTATGTATTTGATAAGCTCTCGTTTCCTGATCCAAAAAGTTTCATTAACAAAGTTGATTATAATGAACATGGACCCAGCGTGATACACTCCAAAAGTTATTAAATTCAATTATAATAATCATAGTGAATAGTGAATCAATATATTTATTTTTCAAAAAAAAAACGAAAACAATTTTGATGTTTTAAAAAAATGAAATAATTCATTATAATATGATCATATATTTTAGCATGATACTGATCCTGGATGGATTGGCTACAACAATATTGACAATAAAATAAATAGATTATTTGAAATTCAACATACAACACTACAAACATTGCTGAGAACAAACCATGTATGATCTCGAAAGTTTCTATTCCTACCAATAAATACTTAAGGAAGCTTAAGTCTATTGATATAGAATAATCGTTAAACTGTCAATTTTCTAAAACACAAATTTTCATATTTCAATTTCCCTCCTACAGCTAAATAGATATAGATTTTTCGCGTTTTATCACTATCTTGTAAAGTTACGTTACGTCTACTATTCCCTTAATACGCATATTTTAAATTTTAAAATATTTCAAAGTGAAAGCAATAAATTTTTATTATAAAAGAAATAAAATCGCAAATAAAAAAATTTATCTAGCAAAATGGAGATTACATTTTTTTGTAAAAAGTAATAAGTCACAAATAAAGAAATCAACATTATTTAGCAATATAATTTCGGCAACAAGTAGATGTTCTACACGAAATAAAAGCCGAAAATTCAAACTTTTTTTTAGGATATTAATTATTCCTCCCTGGCCGTCTTGACACTTTTTTTGTTAATATAATAACTAGCGACGATACTAGAAATAATTGATACGGTGCTGCCAACGATAATAAGAAGTAACTAATTCTCTGATTGCATTGCTCGTTTCTCTGATTGAATTTCAATAGAATAGAGCTTATTTTCCGTCCGAGAGAGTCTATGGTCGAGATAATCGTTTCTGCGTCTATCGACATCGTATAAAATACACTCCTTTAGAGTGAAGTTAACGATTAGGAGATTTATGGATATCGCTTTCACGAATAATATTTTCAGAAGACGACGTTGATTCTAAACAGACAAATACATAATAGATAACAAATAAAGGTTATATAGGAAACGTACCATTAAATGACGCTTTATACAACAGATGATGTCAGAAGAAATGTATCTGAAATTATAATAAAATAAAATTATATAGAAGACGCACCAGGAAATTTCGTAAAGCGTAAGTGGCGAGTATAATTGCCACGGATAATATTGAACATGTTTACAGAAAACAGAAATATAGTTTCTTTTTGTTTTTTTTTTTAGAAAGTTGAGTTCCTTTGAACAAAAAAAGTAATTTATCAGTTCGCGGAAGGATTAATAACGGTTTTATCATTACTTTTATACGACTCTAAGATTTCCCAAGCCTAAACGTTATAAAAGAAAACGATGTACCGCAGTTTGACGAGAAAATAATGAAGCCTGGACGAAAATACGCAATTAAGGTATGAATTTCTCGCAAGTATTTGGCATGATAGGACTTATCTCATACTAATCTTAGTTATTACTCCCTCATTGTTACCTTAAGTTCACGGTTATGTGTAAGGTTAACACCTACAATTAAATATGATGGAAGTATTATGATATGAGACATTTTTGGAAAAGAAATTAGGACCATTAGTAACATCTGTAGCAAGTAAACGTTTATTCTCTATTGCCGGAAACCTTATTTCTCCTCTATTCATCTTAACATTAGTGACTAAAATGCGCTGAAATATGAAAGTTAGATTAGAATAATTTTAAAGAAGAATACTTTTTATAGTGAATTCTTGGTTATATATCGAGAGAAATTTATTAATTAAAAAAAATTCACTATAACACGATTTTACTATAATGGTATTCACTATAACGAGCTTTGACTGTAATTTGAAATATTGGGTTAGCAAATTTATATTTATTATATTAAAAGTAGAACTGAATATAAAGCTTAAAGAATTTTATAATCCGGATTGTAATAAGGATTCAACTTATCCGGGGTATAATATTATAAAACAAAAAAAAACCTGATTTTTAAGCAATTTAATGAACTTTTCAAAAAATATTAATAAGATTTGAATAGAGCTTTATTTATTATTTTCAATAACGAAACTAATTGTAAATTTAATGTTGTATTTTAAAGTATCCGGGTATTATATATGTTAAGTACCCGGGATACTTTATAATCTTATATAATACCCATCTATGTAATTAATATACCCCAGTTAAATCCTTGAATGAATTGCTTATGTTACTTACCCTTGTTATTACGTAATTAATTTAGCATTCTATGGAAAAATATTTGGTTATATTCACCGTGTTTGATTGGGTACCAGGCTACTGGGCGGTTTGACACTACAAATGATTTGCTTGTATGCATAAAAGCACATAAAACTTTTTTTTTTTATTAACAAAAAGTGAGAATTTAAATATCAAACAAGAGAACATCAAATGTTCTCATGAAAATCAGGCATAAAAGAATGCAGTTTCGTTATATACACAGTTAGCATATTTGGAGCATACGCTCGTTTCCATTAGCATATTCTCTCTTTGATAAGTAAAAAAAAAAAAAAAAAAAAAAAGAAAAAAGGTTTTACTATTTCTTTTGAATCTTTGAAAATATTAATAGATCTAGTGATGTCTACTAATCAGCTGTCTCAAAAAATGAGTGGGGGTCATACTTCGCGTTCTAATTCGCTCCCTCAATATAATTCTACAACTTCACCAGTGTTTGAACTTATGAATATTCCTAACCGTCTCGTATTAGAAAAAGTTTATCTAAATGGTCTTCATTCACTAAGACGTTTTGAAGTTCGCAATATATCTCAATCTACAATACTAGTGAAATTGCGTTCTAATCTTGGTTCACAGATAGCGTTTCAACTTACAAATGAAAATCTTCCCGACTTAAATTCTAAAAAAGCAGAAATGGTAGCTTCGTCTGAACTTGGTTCACCTTCTAGATCAGAAAGTAATAGCAGCGTTTTGTATAATGTTTCATTAGATAACTCCTTAATTAATATTGCAACAAATACCGTTGCTGCTGCTGCAGTTGGTGCATTTGGTGATAGTGTGAATGGACATGAATTCAACCAACTTTTCAATTATGTAAATCATATAGATGAAGTAATTATTTCACCTGGAAGTTCACAAAAAGTGATATTGGCCTTTTTACCGGATGCCCACCATAAAAATCGTAGATCTGTGGAGGATCTAAATTCTCCTTCAATTCCTGATGAGACTGATGAAACGAGAATTAATACTAATGTTTTCACACAATCATCAGAAGATGAAGAAACTCATGATTTTTTTGAAGTCAATGGGCTATTATTCTTTTTCGCATATGTTATCGAAAAGCAACAGAATTTTGAAAGCACGGAAATAACAAATATTCCAAAGGTTAATGTCACGACAACCTATAAGAAGAAGTCATCTACCTTTTTAGTCCCAACGAATGAACCCGATCAAGGTCTGATATTTAATCATCAATTAAATTAAAATACAAAACTAATGAAAATTTGATTAATTCATTTAAAATTTTTTTAGTTAACAAGACATTTAAGTCTGAAATTGATAACGCTCCTCGTGATATTGAATCGATAGGTAGCTCATCTAAAGCTGATTATCAAATTACTGTTAAATTTCGTTCTACCGTTTGTCGTTCAGTATTATGGACGGATGTTGGAGAAACTGGAATTAATTTTGATGATTGTGTAAATGGGGGTACTTATTTCAAAGACTTTACCATATGGAATCGTTCTGAAATTGAATTATATTGGCTTTTAAATACGGTAGATTTATCAAATTCTGAACGTGAAGATTGGTTAAAATTTACAGACTATGATACTGGTGAATTATTAGATGATAAGCCAATTCCTAGTTATTCCCATAGAAGAATTAGAGTAACATTTAAACCTAAAGAAATAGGAGAATTTAGTTATGATCTACAGCTTGAGAATGCCAATGACGCTGCTAATACTTTACAAAGCAGAATTAATGCAGTTGTTAGATCAGTTTTAAGAGAAGAATCATTGGTCGTTAGTAGTGGTAATATCCTGGACTTTGGAGATTGCTGTGCAGGGGTATGGAGTAAACAACAGTTGATTCTAAAAAATGTTAGTGAAGTACCTTTAGAAATTCATTTTTCAGCTGAGAATGCAGAAGTTTTGTTCCATTTGAAAACAGATAATTTGATAGAGAATAGTAAAGTAGATCTAAAAGGTAGCGATTATAATGCCGGAGACATAAATTCTTTACGTTATCGTCATAAAAATGTTTCAAATATTACGAGTATCAGTAATACTCCTATTAACACGAGCGTTACAGATGAAGTTTCTGTCTCTGGTAGTATAATTGGTTCACAGGCACCATCGGTGATACATGAAATTAATGGATTAGAACCATCGTCTGTAGAAAGATTATCTTATACAAATGAGTCACAATTTTCAAGATCGGTAAACAAACTTCGATTCAATAACATCAGCGATTCAGATGTTGAGAGAGATAATGTTTCTGGAAGGATTAAAAATACTTTAGAGAGAGAAAATTTGGAAAAGGAAATTTCAGATGGGATAACTCAAATTGAAGAAGTAATTTTTGGACCTGGAAGAGAGAAAACGGTTCAAGTTTCCTATCGTCCGGAAAAAGACTCATCCGCTAATGATTTTAAAGCTGGACAATTAACACGAAGAAACTTTCGAATTATTCTGCAATATGTGTCTGTTAATTCAAGTTCAACAAGTATGAGATCCGGTGGTCATGAACGTAAAATTATTCAATGTAGAGCTAGGAGTTGTACTTCTTTTATTGAAGTAAATCCTAAAGAAGTGAATTTTGGAGACACAGATGTCGGTACTTTAAAATCGGTGCCCATCGTGATTACTAACTTATCTGAATTGACGGCTCGTGTAGAATTACAGTTTGTTTCAAAAGTGCTTAATTGTACTCATGATGAAGTTGTTATTCCACCAAAATTATCAACTAAAGTTAAACTCGATATGTATCCAAGAAAAGTTAATGTTGATTATCGAAAGCAAATAACTGTTGTCAATTTGCAAAATCGCGATAACGATCAAATCATAGAAGTTAGAAGTACAAATATTGACAAAAATGGCGTCACTTTTCACTCGTTATTTTATCGAATTTTGACTTCAACTGGGAGTAATTTTATCGATTTTGGGCCTACTGTGATAAATTCTCCAAGCATTCGAACGTTTACTATTGATAATTTTAGTGCAAAGAACTTGACGCTAGAGATAACTTCTTCATTATCCGAAGAGATAATTATGTATCAAAAGCGTATGAAATACGATGATGCGATCAGCTCAGGAGATCGGAGTTTAGTCACTCAAAGTACTGGGGTTCATGCTGCGGAAAGTGGAGATAATGAACAAAGTAGCTCCTCTAAACTTGAAAGGCGCGAAAAACTTTTAGAAACTATTGGAAATAAACGAATACTAAGGAAACAACCTTCTATTGACATTACTAAAACGAATTTAAATGTTAGTAATCTATCAACAACAAGTTCAACGATGTCGAATGAGGAAATTAAAAAAAGTCTGAACAGTAAACGATATAGCTCGTCTGTTTTATCAGATAGTGCATCATCAGATTCTTCTTTATCAAGTGCAGCATACCTTGATTTAGCAAGTCCCTCATCCTTACGATCCCCAAGGAGAAGGCCATTAAAAATCGCGTTGAATAAGACGTCTGGATTTGCTAAATGCCTGACAATTGGGAGGTTAAAAGAAAGTTTAGGATCTGGAAGTACAAGTAATACTGGTACTTTAAAGAATACTACTGGAATACTTAAGAGAGTAATTGACTCAGGCGATGATTTATCTCGTGAAAAATCACAAAAAAATCAAAATAGTTCGATAAACATATCAGAAAGAAATGAGAAAGCTAAGATACATAATAAAGAAACTTTATCAAGTATGCCAATAGAATCGCTTATTGCTATACTAGAAAATAATAATAATGGTAATTCACAATTATTATTCCCAAAGGCTTCTGTAGAAGTTTCTTACGTTCGCCAACAGATGGCTCTTTTACGAGAATTGCAAAATCGTATGAGAGATCATCAAATTGTTCCTATTAAAATGATAGAAATTCCACCTAAGGGAGAAAGACAAATAATAGTAGTCTTTACTCCAAAACGACATTTAAGAAGAATGGTTCAAGGATTACCAAAGAAATGTGATGCTAGGGTCTTCATTCGCCTTATTGATTTTGATAGGGAAATTCAACAGCCACAATTTGAAACTTTACTACAAGGTGACCAAAGTCTTATTCCTGTCAGAGAACTTATGGTTAATACGACTATGTGTCGTTCGATTATGGATTTAGGTCAAAAGAATATCAATTTTGGAATCATGGATAAAAATGAACGTCGAAGTAAAAAAATCCTCATTCAAAATCGAAGCGAAGTACCATTATTATACAACATTCGAAAATCAGGATTAATTTCTTCAGGTGACATTATGTTTAGTGCTGGACACATGGGAGTTGTCCGTGGATATGGCAAAAAAGAAGTCGAATTCACATTTAATCCTAGTCTTCCTGGACAATTTCATGAAAAATTAGAAATCGAAAACATTCAAGATAGAGATAATGATCAAGTGCTGTCGGTTAAAGCTATTATAAGAAAGCAATCTAATTTTCTTGTCCATCCGTTGAACTTAAATTTAGAATCTTGTTTTATTAATGACAATGCACCACGAGTTCAGCATATCACAATTAGTAACACTAATAAATTATCTCGTATGTTTGAAGTTCATATTGATCCACAAGATCTTAAATTTAAATGGTGTTATGGTGAGCTGAGCTTTGTACTTCAAGAGGACACTGATGGATCTTCAATAAATGGTGGTCTGCTAAGTAAAGAGACAGAAGAAGAAATTGAAAACCTTGAACAAAAAGTAAAAATTGCAAAACGCAAAGGACGAGAAGAAAAGGTGAAAAAAATAGAGAAAAAATTAGCAAAGTTACGACGTGGTGACACAGGGAAAGATGATGACGATAGTGATTTAGTGAAAGATATTTCTCTTGGTAACAACAATAGTGAGTCTATTATTAAAGATGAAAAATCAGATGTTCATAGTGACGGACAACAAACTCCACTTGAAGATTCTTATGTTAACGGAACGAATAGTGAACGTCTTATGCTTAGTAAACCAATTTTACATGTTGAAAAAAATTCCGATCAATCTAATAAGCGTCCTTTAAATTCACCTAATTTAATAAATGGAAAAGAAGGTCCCAAATACAAAAGAACACAAACATCAATTATATTTCCTATGGAACCACGTTCATCAAAAACTATCTATATTTATTTTAAAGCCATTGCAATCAATACTGATTCGCTCCAAATAGAAGGAGAAAATACTAGACCTTCTCAAGAAAACATCGTTAGTCGAATTTACGTTCATGAGCATAAAAATACAGATATTACTAAAACCGTTGTTTTTAAAACTACGGTTTTCTATGATTATTCTAGTTACATGCAGACAACGTCAGATGAAACATTCAGTAATGAATACAAGTCGGAATCAAGTTTGTCAAGCCCGGCACCCGAGTCATCGAGTGTTGTTTCGGAATCTGTAGAGAATGTTAAGTTTTTTACACCGTCTTCATTACGTAAATTATCTTATTTAATTGCTTCACCACCACAAAAAGGATCCGACATATCTTCAATAAGTGTTGATAAATCACCTATAATAGAACTTACTCAATTTGGGTTCCCACGTGCAGAATCACCCGAACACGTAGAGCACGTACCCGAAACTGATCATTTGATTTTGGAACCAGCTATACTGGATATAGGAAGACTTGAGGTTAATCAAAGTCATAACTATTACTTTAAATTATCAAATCGAGGTGATCATCCATTAAATTATGAAATTATTGTCTCAGATGATGATAGATCATTTTTTCAAATAAGTCAAACACATGGAATATTATCATCTCAAGAAACTCGTCGCATAGATTTTTCAGTTGTTGCCACAGTCGTCGGAAGACAAACTCACAAGTTGCTAGTCCGAAATTATGCAACAAAAGTCGATTGTACTTTTGCTCTTCGTGGTTACGTACATTATTCCCAATATTTACGATTTCCATCGCTTGCTGATGATGGACAATCTGAACTAAATTTGGGTTATTGTTATGTTGACCCTGGGCGGAAATATTCACAAGTAACACCACTAATTGTAGAAAATATTTCCGATGATGATGTTTATATTACTGGTCAAAGTAATTTATCATTGCAAGTTTCCGTCTTTCTTGATGAGAATGGAATACGTGGACAAGTTTCCAAGACCTTATTAAAAAAGAAATCAATGACTACAGTATGGATTGCTTTACATCCAAATTTATTAAGTGTTGTTCCTGCAACAGGAAGAAGAAATGTCAATACAGGAAATACACCAGTTGGTTCAGTAAATGGATCAAACATATCCAATGGGGAATGCCGCGAATTAATCGGTGGCATCAAATTTGTTGTCCATGTAAAAGAAAGCGTAAGTTCGTCATTTATACGGAAAGCCGATAATGTAATTGATGAAAGTGGAGACTCGAATGAAACAGAATTAGTTGAAGCCATCACTCAAACTGTCAAGTTCGTTTCTTTGATAGGCCGTTCTATATTGTCGGTATCAGAAAAGTTAATATCTCTTGGATCGACTACTTCTATTGGTGAAACATTCTATGGTTCTTTTATTGTTCATAATATGTCCAGTCGGTTACCTTTAGATTATGCAGTTGAATGTCCAAACGGAACTATTTTATTAGATCGCACGTGTGGAACTCTTGACGGATGGGAATCTAAATTCAAACAATGTCGGGAAGATATTGACACCTCCACAAGTGAAAGTAATTTGATTGATAAATCAACAGCTTTAATTAATTTTAGAGTTACAACATCAAAGTATGGACTTTTCAGGGATAAAATTATTGTTACCAATAAAAATAATGTAGGTCAAAACGTTGAAGTAGAAGTTCGTTTGTTTGTTGACAACAATTCACTTGATTTTTTGACTAAAGATGATAGCTCTATATCAAAGAATATTTTTTCCGAGAAGGCACCAATGGGTCTTAAAAACATTAAAGATTTTGGTAAATTGCCTATGCTTTCTTGGGAGAATGTTTCCACAACGGTCGTTGTTGGATCCGAATCGAAAATGACGAACTCTAACTTAGAAAGTAAATTAGATCTTAAAGCTGTTATTCAAAAAGGATATCAGGCAACAGCAATTCCGTTATATGAACATTGTGTTGAGATTTGTAACAAATCATCAACTGACATTGTGCAAATTAGTCCAAGGAGTGATTTAGATGTTAAAATCAGATGGGGACCCTTTGGAGATACAAGAATTATTCAAGACTATAATGAGAAATTAGATGCCATTGATTCACCATTTCATATCTGTGGACCTTTTATTGAATTGAAACCCGGAAATAAGACTCATCTTTATATAAGTTGTCCACAACCTAATTCTTTAACTTCTGAGGAACTTAAGTTAATTGAAGTTGGAAAAAAAGTTAGCATTCAAGGTGTACTCCTCTTGAATGATGAAATACAAAAGCTTACAGTAAAATTAATAGATTTAAATGCCAAGTTTTGTGTTCCAATAGGCGAATTAAACTCGAGCGTAATAAATCTTGGAAAATTAGGACATTCAAATTCTTGGGCAGGAAGTGAATTTAAATTCATTTTGCGCAATATATCGGAAATTCCTTTACATTATGAATTACAAAGTCCCGACTGTATTGAAATTTTAGGAGTAATGGATGATGGTTCAAATGTTCAGAACAAAGGCGTGATTGCTTCGAAACGCACTGTGGAACCACTTATTGATCAGATCATAACAGCAGTTCTTAAGCCCCGTAGGATTAAAAATTTCTCTGCTGGCGAACGGACATTTTCCGTTAATGTTCTAAACATGTATAATCCTTACAATATAATGACTTTGAACATCCAAGCTACTCTTACTTTATTTGAGCTTAAATTTGATCGGTTAATTAAAGGTGAACTTGTATTGCCTTCTCTTTATCATCCTCTCCCTCGATCAGATTATGCTTGTGACGCATGGTTTACAATTCACAATATAAGTGAAAAAGATATTCGCTTTGAAATTGGAGTGGAACTTGCTCCTTATATTTCTAATTATATTAAAATTGATATACTTTCAAGATTTTCAAATTCACCATTAATTGGTAGTGTTTCTATTAGCGCTCACGGCTCAATCGAAGTTAGAGTTCGTGCTTATCCGATTGAAACCAATCGTATACCTCGTGAATCTTCTTATCTCATTAATCCTGATGGTGTTACTTTTGGTAAACTTTGGGTGGCTACAAAACAAAGTTATGAGGATGATATTCTGCAGAGAGTGGCTGAGAATATACCAATACGTGGTGTTATTACAGAGTCTCCCACGTTTTCCGTTTCAACCAAGAAGATACGCTTTAAAACAGAATTATGTTATTCTGATGGTGAAATTACTAATGATGTTAGTAAGAGTAAACGTAAATCATCACTGATTCTGAGACATAAATTATCTCCTTCGAGCCAAGATAAACAACTAATTGAAGAATCAAATGATTTTGAAGATATTTTACCACAAAGAGAATCCATTATAATAAAAAATTTGTCAGAGAAAATTCCATTATCTTTCAAAGTACACATCGAAGGACCAATGGAACTTTCCGCTAAAGAGATTATCAATGTCTTTCCAATAGATGATAATGGATGTGGAACCATAGAACCCGGGAAATCATTCAATTTAGAAATTGAATTGGTTGATTCTACAATAGCAGTTTCAGAAGATATTAAGATTCGTATTATAGATCTTAATTCTTTATCTAGTCATGATAAAATAGTTCTTGTTGGTATTGAATCTGTCGCTCGTGAACCTCGTATAGTTGAAGAAATTCCCGATTCAGTACCTGAAAAATCAGTGGAAATAGGTCATAAAAATTTGATGGTTTCGCAGGAAAGGCAATACTCTTACCAGGACATTTCATCCGATTTACCTTTCATAACCTTACGTGGATGCAAAAGGATTGGAGAAGCTGTAAAAATTGGTGGTCGTTATGAACTTAGTTTAGGTCAACAAGATCTTGGATTAACTTCTATAGTAAAGAAATTGACTCTTGAAAATACCACCTCAAAAAGAGTTTCATATCGAATTAAAACTGTTTCAACTAGTGATAAGGCTTGGTTAAATATAAGTCGGACTGAAGGCACATTAGAAGCATCAACTGATCGTCAATATACTGACGCACATACGATAACTTTGAGTTTTTCCACGAGCATGCGGAATGTTTATTCAACATATTTGATAATCGAAAATTTGAATAATCCTTCAGATACCAAAACTATCAGGGTTATGATGGAGGTATTTACAGCATTTTAGTAGATTAGTAAATGATTTAATTTATATATAAGGTTTATAATATTTTTATTTTATTTTATTTTTTTTTTTTAGGTGGTTGCTAGACAAAATTTAAGGAGAGGTGCCAATACTCCAGTAGCTAGTAATCATGTCTTCGATATATACGTGAACGGTGTGGACACTAGCCAAACACGAATAGAAATGCTGAATTTATTTTATGGTTCCGAATACTCTGCTCGTAGCATGGTCATTTATAATAGGGAAACCGTACCTTTGGAATTTTCTGTATGTTCTTTATCGATTTTTGTTTATTATTGATAATGGTATTAAAATTTTTTATATTCCTTCTAGTTTCAAACAAATCTGGATTATGATGATCCAACAGAAATTTTATTTTCTACTTCGAGAATGTCAGTTAAATTATTTAAAACACTTACCGTGGAGCCAGGAAGTAATGTTCGAGTTTATATACGACTAAGACCTCTACCTTCTCGAGAATTACAAGAATATCTTGATGGTGGCAATCGGAGAGATCCAAATTTAGTAGAAGAGAAAGTCATAGAAATTTATGTGAATTGTAGACTTGTAAAAGATTATCAGCAGACTTTATTACTTAAGGCAGAATGTAGAACGCCATCTTTACATGTTGATTATAATGATATGGAGGCTTTTATGGGTAAGTCATGGTCTAATTATTAACCATAAAAAATTTTTTAATTTAATAATTAACATTAATATTTATTAATGATTAGGCAAAATATGGCGTCGCGATCCTAATAATAAGGATGATGATGAATGGAACTTACAGTTCAATCCAGAATTTCGCGAAATAAAAATCAATAATTTACTTGATACACCTTTGGAGTATGAAATTATTAATGACACGATGTATTTTAGTTTGGAACTGTGCAATGATGTCAAAGAAGTGGCTCCTAAATCTTTTCATAACGTTTTGGTACGACCTAATTTAAAGTCTTTGATTAAGAATGCCGAAAGCGTTCGAAGGGTGAGTTTCCATTTAACAGTATATTTATTATAAGGAAATTTAATCGTAATTAATTTATTTTTTATTTACAGGAAAAATATATACAAGAAAATGTGACCGTTTATAATAAAAAGCGACCTTCTGAAAATTATTGGGTTCCTTTAAGAATAAGTTTTGGACATATCTCAAGTTTTCAAGTATGTATAAGTTATTTGCTTTATACAAAAATCCCGGTTAACACTAATTACTTTTTGAATTTATTCAGTTGGCATCTGGTTATAAATCATCGTATACTTACAGCATTCTCGAAAATCACACTGTTCGCTTTTTAAGTAATTTTAACAGTAATACAAAACTTTTTGCTACAGTTGAGACTAATGATGAGGTAACAAAAGATGTTAAAAATTATGTTTTATATTTACATTAGTTTAATTTCCCTTGTTATTAAATAGGATAAAAAGAAAATGGTTGACCTTGAATTCCAATATTTGTACATTGTTGATCAACTTGTATACTATGCAACAATCAAAAGTGGTGAAAATTGGCTTCAATTGGCTAGTTTATTATTTGGGTATATATTTTCTTCTATTGTAATATTTCTGAATATTAAATTAATAACTTATGTCTTTCAAATACTTTAAGAACTGTTTTAGGAAACAAGATATTTCAACAATATGGACCATCTTATCTTAAACTTCCTGATCCAACTTCAACAGATACAGAGATAAGAGTATGGTCGCCTATGTTAGCCAAATGGGTATGTATTTTAATTACATTGCAATGATATAAGGAAACCTGTATTAACTTTTTATTTCTTTTTTTAAAATAGATTTCGTCTTTAAACTATTTCATTTCCTTTTTTCCTTATAAAAATCCAATGCTTAATACTCTTAAAGAGCTTCATAAAAGTTTAATAATCATTCCTGATCCAACTCCTAAAATATAGATATTCTTATATATAGAACCATATATAGAATATTAGAAATATACAAATAATAAATAAAATTTAATATTTATTGTAAATGCGACCAAAGTTTTTTTATGAATCTCTAGAACTAACTAATAATCAACTAATAATCATACGATTTTGGTGCAATATAAAATATTTACTACAAAGCATTTTCACGTACCGAATTCTTAAAAAGCATTCATAGTAAATTTCTTGAATATGAGCGTAAATTTTTGTTGAAAACAAATATAAAGGTGTGTGAATTGGTAGTATTTTTTAATTTAATTTTTTTTTTTGCCTCTGTTAATATATAATGAAAAAAGTTAACATTAGGTAGAACGAATAGCGGAAAGGAACTTTCATTTTATGGATTAAACCTCAAGTATTTTCCTTCACTTGTACTCAAAATGGGTTTTTGTTTTCAATTATAAAAAATTGTAAAATTTCAACTGCATTGCAGCAGTTATAATCTCGCTTCACCACTTTATAGAATTAAGTCAATCACAGTTTTCCTTATCTACACATTCATCCGATTCTTCTAAGTTGTCTTCCATCCATTTTACATTTATTTCTAGTTGTTTAATCCTCTTTCCAAACTTTTTGAGCTGAGAATGATAATCATCCAGTCTTTTCTCTAGCACCCTATTTACACTAGAAAGCATATTATACACCTTTGCATTTGCTTATCTAGTCTAGATATCCAGGCTAATTTCTCTGTATATCTGATAACTTACTGCTCGTTGGGTATATATCAGATGAATGCTTTTGATCGGTTACCATTTTTGTGATATATTCTATATGCTTCAATTGAAAAAATAAAATTTAATAAATGATATCTAACCCAATACTAAAGAACTTGAATGGCTTTATTCTGATCATATGAGGAAACTCTAAAAAAATTAAAAATTTTACTTTTAAGCTAATTATGATTTTTTTAGTAAAATAAGTCCAGATTTAACATTAACTCGAAAAAAATTTTTTTTAGAGTTTTCTCCCTTTTTACTGCGTTATTATCAGGGCTGTGATAAAATGCTTCCTAGCGATAGTCATAATATGCGATAAATTTCTGGCTTTGTGTAATACTCCGATCCTATATTGTGTAAAGATAATCATATATTTTTAGGAATCTATTAAACCATTTAGCTCTGGATTTTTCAGAAATTACTTAGCCTGTTCTTCATCTTTTTTCATCGATCTAAATACCTAAAGAATGTCTTGTTGATCCTGAGATTTAACATAGCCTGTCTAGCTATGCATAAAGATAGGGTTTTTGTTTGAAATTCGATTTTCAAAAAATATATTTTTTTAATTTTAATATTTTTAATATTTATTTTTTAGTTATTTATATTAAAAATTATAAAAAAAATTTCATTTTAAAATTTTTAAAATTATAAGAACTTTTTCTTTAGATAATATAAGCTTTTATTCTTTTAGATAGGTAAGTTTTCTTTCTTTCAATAGGTTCTTTCAAAAGATAAATTTCTTTATTTTACTAAATTTCTTTTTGCTTTTTTTAGGAATAAATCCTTCATTTTTTTGGATAAATTAGATAAGTCTTTGGTTTTTTAGAAATTTCTTCAAAGGGTGGTTTTTTGATTTTACTAATTTTTTATCTATTTCTTTTTTTAATATTAAGGTAAGCCTTTCAAAAGTGGTATTTTTCTAACTGATTTCTTTATTTTTCTTCACTTTTTTAAAAATATATTAAGGTAAGTCTTTTAGAGGTGGTATTTTGGTGGTTTTCTAATTGTTTTCTTTATTTTTTCTTAGAAATACATTAAGATAAGCCTTTCAGAGGTGGCTTTTAGTAGGTTTACTAACTGATTTCTTTATTTTTTCTTATTTTTAAAAATCAAATGTATTTTTTTTTGAATAAAATATAATACAATATATATTCTTTTGAGTAATTTATTATATAATAATAAAATAATATTATAAATTATAAATAAATAAAAAACGAGTTTTATTAGTTTTGATTTTATAAATAATTGTTTAATTAATTTTTTCTGATTGTTGACCAATTTTAAGCTGATTTATGCTGAAATTTAACTAATTTTTAACATAAATGCTGATTGATAACTGATTTTCTATTTATTCAAAATGCTAATTTTTTGATAATGATCGGTAAAATTAAACTATATTTTAGCCAACTTTTAGCATCTTAAAATGTGACAAATTGTATTATTTTAACTAATGATATATCAAATAATTACTAATTATTAATGTTAAATTTTTGTTTGTGTAATATCTGCATTAGGCAAAGTTAGCTATAACTAAAAATGCCAATTCTTTTGGTAATTATTGGCAAAATTAGACTATATTTTAGCCAATATTTGGCAATTTAAAAAAGTAATGAAATGTATTATTTTGACTAGTGATGAAGTGATAATAAACTTTTTCTTCTCATTGGATTTTTTTCAAGAATTTTTACTTTAAAAAGTATTTGTTCAATGACGTCTGCGACTTAGCCTGCAAATAAAACAAAAAACTCCTACTTTACAGCTAATTTCATAATTCGTGAACCACTAATAAATTGCGACTGAATGCGACTGAAAATATTTTATAATAAAAT